AAAAAAAAAAACCCAAAACAAAAGTAGCTACCTTGTGTCATTTTGGCGGTGTGCAATTAGTAACTTCTACTGTGAAAGTGTGTATAATTCCTTTTGTTGCAAGTATAGAAGAAAAGTATACTTAATAAATATAGAAAAAGGTCATACCTACCCCAGTACTTTTTGTAAAGGTTTACAGTTACCCTCCTTTTACAGTTTGACTCGCTAGTGTCCTTGCGTTTAATCTTTTGGGTTACAAATATCCTTACTTACTAACAGGGACTTGGTTATCACTAATTAGTCCCAAATTTTTTTTATGAGCACCTGAGTTGGCGACGTGGCCTTTTTTGAATTTTGTTTGGTTAATTACATTTGTCAAGTTCTACCTTGGGTGGTTGGCACGAAACTTAGAAATGCAGTGTAATGTCCCTGGTTCTATCTGCGCTGTCTTTCAGCACTGCGTATCGCCCTCCTTTATTTGACACTCTTTTATTTCAGAGTGAGAATTCAGCTTTGTGGCATCATGGACTTGGTTCAAGAACAATTTCAGCTGTTCCTGCCAACACGTACTATGGCTTTCAGGGACAAAATCAGCAAACGGCTGGTGGATTTAGGCAAGGTCAGCAGCCGTCACAAAGCTATGGATCTTTGGGGGGTTACCCACATTTCTACAATTCTCAGGCTGGTATCTCATTGGATCAACAGCAGCAACAAAACCTTCAGGATGCAGCGTCGTTGGCTGGTTCTCAAGGTCAGCCGAAGCAATCTCAACAACAGCTATGGCAAAACGGCTACTAATCTTGCTGCCTCCTTGTTTTATTGGGGTCTTGTAACGAGTGTGAAAGTGGCCTTTCGAGCAATTTCTGTGGAAATAACCATCGTTCATGATCCCCGAAGGGACTTGACCGGCTACTGCCCTGTGCTATGAGGCTGCACTTTACGTGTTTATCCTCAGAGTTAAATGTAACGTAGGAATGTCTGAGCTAACGCAGTGCTAGTTGGCGCGTTTGTTTCTCTTAACTCTTGTTACACAGTTAACCCCCTTTTGCTGTTTTCTCATCTATAGTTAGAAGTTGTGTTCTGTTTCCCACTAGTAATCTACTTCCTCCGTTCCAGTTTATACGAATTTATTTTCTTTTTGGTCAGTTCGAAAAAGCACGACCCCTTTTATATTTGGAAACAGTTTAGCTTAAACTTCCAATTCAAATCTTAATAAGAAACTTTTATAACCAGATCTCTTTTTGACTTGTTTAGGATCACATATTCACAAAGTCTTTATTTTTTCTTATAAACCTCATGCAATAGTTAAACAAGTTGATATAAATTGGATCGGAGGGAGTATTTCCATTTGCTTTCTGCTTTGCTGTCCAGTAAAATTTTGCGCATAAATGGGATGAAATATTGGTAAGGTTAATGTGGGTTGTACTGATCTTTATATAGTACAATCAGGTTTCTCTATAACAATATCTCTATATGATAATTATTCACTATAAAAGTCAATTTTTTTTTCGGAATCAATTTTTATGTTATGTTATAATATATGTTCTATATAATAATACTTCAGTGTAACAACCAAAATCTGAGAATGCAAGGTCAAAAATATAGATGATTAGTACCTCCTAAGTTTTCAAGGAAAAACACTGAATCCAAACTAAAATCGTTTGCAGAATTAGGTGACCAGAATTGAAGCAAGGAAAGGGTATTTGCTATGTGAAGAAAGATATGATATTAATGCTAGATGAGATAAAGTTTATGTTCTATGTATTTACGATGCGAAAAATATTTATACAATCATATTATTTTTAAGATAATAATAGGTAAATCTCTTGGTAAGCCTCAATTAGTAACATGGAAAAATGATAATTAACCTTTAACATATGATAAAATTTATTGATAGAGTAAAATAAACAACAAAGACCTGTTCTTTGGACATTCTTTTGTTCTGTATTTTCACTACCATTTTAAATCGCTAAGCACTTTGAAATCACAAAGAAGTACAATATTAAAGATTGGAACTGCAATAAAGAATATGATAGATTCACATGCTCGTCATTAATTAATCCAAATCAATTTACACCACATTACAATCTCTTTAATGAACCCATAACCCAGAATGCTAAAAATAAACTCTGACCCTTCTTTGGGTTCATCACTCACAAGCTACATACTTAGTCTCACACTACTTGAAGATTAGAGATCAACTTTTGTTAAATTCACTTTCCGGGAACAAAGTTTGTGGCATAGGCCCAAGCATTGTTGTTTACTGGGTCTGCAAGATGGTCAGCAAGGTTCTCCAATGGACCTTTTCCGGTAACGATAGCCTGAACGAAGAATCCAAACATGGAGAACATAGCAAGTCTGCCATTCTTGATCTCCTTTACCTTGAGCTCAGCAAAAGCCTCTGGATCTTCAGCAAGACCCAATGGGTCGAAACTGCCACCAGGGTAAAGTGGGTCAACAACCTCACCGAGAGGTCCACCAGCAACACGGTAACCCTCAACTGCTCCCATCAACACGACTTGGCAAGCCCAGATGGCCAAGATGCTTTGAGCGTGGACCAAACTTGGGTTACCCAAGTAGTCAAGTCCACCCTCGCTGAAAATTTGGGATCCAGCCTTGAACCATACAGCTTCACCGAACTTGATACCATTACGGGCCAAGAGTTCAGGGAAGACACAACCAAGAGCTCCAAGCATGGCCCATCTGCAGTGGATCACTTCCAATTCACGGTTCTTGGCAAATGTTTCTGGGTCAGCTGAAAGTCCAGCAGTGTCCCACCCGTAGTCACCAGGGAACTCACCGGTCAAGTAGCTTGGAGACTCGCCAGAGAATGGTCCCAAGTACTTGACGCGGTCAGGACCATACCATGGGCTGCCAGAAGAGACAGGCTTGGCCTTGCTAGCAGTCTTCCTCATGGTGACTTTTCCATTTCCCGTGATTTCAGAGGAAGATGGTGAGAGTTTCACCGCCTTTCCGGCAAAAGAAGGGGAAGAGACAGCCATTGTAGAAGCAGCCATGGTTTAGCAAGGAGAAGTAAGTGTTTTTTTGATGGCTGAAGTAATAGAGATGTTAGCTGTGGTGATGTAGTCCGTTGGGCTTAAATATTTATATAGGGAGTGAGTGAAAGAGTTCTTATCTTATGATATCTCTATCTACAATTTCATTGGATTTCAAGATTTCACTAGCATTAGTTCTTGTCGACTTGGCATGTTGTATTCCACCAATCTTTCCAAGATTTTACTATAAAAATATGTGGCTTTAAATTGCAAACTGTCCTATAAGCTGGTCTGGCAAAATTATATTGCACACTGTCTTGTGGTTTTACCTGGTAAATCTTACAGTTTTTCTTCTGTGGGTCTGTTTGATATTGCCATGCATGTATCACTTTGAAGTCTGCAAAATAAAAAACTGAAGTCTGCAAAATAAAATTTCTGAATTTAATCTCTACACAAGTACACATGCTTTAAGTCTGTAAAGCCACAACTAAAATAAGACATGAATTTCTCAATGAGGTTTTAATTTGTGAAGGACAGCCGGGTGCATTCAGCTCTCACTATGCGTAGGGTCCGGGGAAGGGCCCGATCATAAGGGTCTATTGTACGCAACTTTACCCTACATTTCTGTAAGAGACTGTTTCCACAGCTTCAATCGTTAGTTTTTACATTAATTGTGGTCCAAAATTTAAATGGCAAGAATTTATTTAGTACCATTTTAACGGAGAATAAAAGTGATCTATCGAATAGTTTAAGGGTAATTTTGGCACTTTTGTGTTAGTTAAATGCATCACCACCAAGAGCCTATACATATGTATATTCATTCAAATTCAGACAATTTATTGACGTAGCCTATAGGTGATTATAACCTCACCACTACCGCACTACGTACCCCCCTCCCCCACCCAAAAACAATTTCTACTTTATTTCAAATGCAAAAAATTTCAATTGAACCACCAAAAGATTGTGATTGAATGATAAATACTCCTTCATCCTAATAAGAGGTCTGGGATTCAAGCACTACGTATAGAGTCGCTTTTGATATAGAGCGTTTTACCCCTAAAATGAGATATTTTAGCACGGATCCGAATTAGTCGGACAGCAAAACGGATGTCGAATACCGAATGGAAAATAAATAAGACTTCAATTGAAGCATCAAAGTTTTTCTTTGTCTCATTGTCAATTTGCTCATACTAGTGGTCCAAATTAATGTGCAGAAGTGTGTGAACAATGCATGACCATTAGTTACTCTTATGCTCTGGCCAAGTGGATATTAGTATATTGCAATAATCCATAATCAGACGTGGGAACTCCAGATTGGCTATAAGATAGGAAATCTGCATTGGGTTAGATTTTTTAAACATAATGTATCTAAAAATATCTAGTCATTTTTAACAGTGCACAACTTTGCCAAATGGACAACAATGCAAAAGGTTACAAATTGTCATCCACCAATCAAAAACCAGATACTGATATTCATGGATAAGTATTCTGGGCAATTTTGAGTCATTTATATACAGATGGTGCAAGCCCATTAAACTCATCAAGCCACAAATCAAAATATTCTTTCTCTGTAGTAGCTGCATTCAAGAGTTTTCTCATTTTATTTCTACAATGGCAGCTGCTACAATGGCTCTTTCTTCCCCTTCTTTTGCCGGAAAGGCGGTAAAACTCTCACCATCTGAAACCACTGGAAATGGGAAAGTTACCATGAGGAAGACTGCAAGCAAGGCCAAGCCTGTCTCTTCTGGCAGCCCATGGTACGGTCCTGATCGTGTCAAGTACTTGGGGCCATTCTCTGGTGAGTCCCCAAGCTACTTGACTGGTGAGTTCCCTGGTGATTATGGATGGGACACCGCTGGACTTTCAGCTGATCCAGAAACTTTCGCCAAAAACCGCGAGTTAGAGGTGATCCACTGCAGATGGGCCATGCTTGGAGCTCTTGGTTGTGTTTTCCCTGAGCTCTTGGCACGTAATGGTGTCAAGTTCGGTGAAGCTGTATGGTTCAAGGCAGGATCTCAAATTTTCAGCGAGGGTGGACTTGATTACCTGGGCAACCCAAGTTTGGTCCACGCACAAAGTATTTTGGCCATTTGGGCTTGTCAAGTTGTGTTGATGGGAGCTGTTGAGGGTTACCGTGTTGCTGGTGGACCTCTTGGTGAGGTTGTTGACCCACTTTACCCTGGTGGTAGTTTCGACCCATTGGGTCTTGCTGAAGACCCAGAGGCTTTTGCTGAGCTCAAGGTAAAGGAGATCAAGAATGGTAGACTTGCTATGTTCTCC